GCCTTGTCGCGGCGCGCGTTCTCCCAGTCCGTCGTACTGAGGTCGAGCAATAAGTCTGACGATGATGACGATAAGAACCCTTCAGTTCCAAAACCGACTGAAACTGAGACTGAAGCCGAGGCTGAATCTGAAGAAAATAAGAAAATTGAGGAAGAGAGTAAAAAGACTAGCGAGGAGGATCGGCTTGCATCTGCTGAATCCACTGCCGATGACAAAACACCAGAGTCTGAGGAGGTGGCTAGTAAGGAACGCAAAGCGATTCGAAGGCGTATCCGCAAGACCGATTCAGCTGCTCCTGCCAATTCAGAATCTGAAGCTGCTTCTTCAGAGTCCTCAAAGGAAGCTAGCGAGAGCAAAGAGAAGGACAAGTCAGCAAAAGAAGATAACACAAAGCCAGCATCGTCCACCTCTGGACCTGTCGTGACCATGCGCAAGTTCACACCTGATTTCTCAACTACTGCACCCAACGGCTCGCGTCTTGGAAATGGTGTACCGGATGAGATCCCTGAACTGATGGCGCTGCCTATTGTCTCGCGTCCATTGTTCCCCGGATTTTACAAGGCTGTCGTGCTACACGACGAGCGACATATTGAGGCTGTTCGCGAACTCGTCAAACGTGGGCATCCTTATGTTGGCGTGTTCTTGCAAAAGGATCCCAACCCAGCGACTGAAGCCATCATGGCTCCAGAAGAGATTTACCATAATGGTGTAATGGCTCAAATTACCAGTATCTTCCCTCAAAGCGAGTCGAAGGATGGAGCTCAAAAGGAGGGTCTGACTATTGTGCTGTATCCTCACCGACGTGTCGAAGTTGAGAAGGTGGTCATTGCCGAACATACTGACGTGCCAATTGAGAGCAAAGAGACGCCTGTCGAGTCAGACGTCACGAGTTTTGACGTTGTTGCTGAAGGTAACATATATATAGCTTTGAAAAATGATCTGTGATTATAATAACTGACACCAATCTCTAGACGCTAAATCAGCCGCCGAAGAAGAGCCTATGGCATTCCTTCGCGATCGAGTGACTATGGTCCATGTCAAGAATCGGCCTGATGATCCGGTTGACAAGAACGATCCCACGATCCGTGCCGTTGTCTCTGAGATTGTCAACTTGCTCAAGGAGATCTCCTCAATGAATCCCATCTTCCGTGATCAGATCACTGCTTTCACACTTAGCCTTGCTACCGGAAATGTGTTTGATGAGCCGGTTCGTCTTTCTGACTTTGCGGCTGCGGTCTGTGCTGGTGAGCTTACGGAGCTGCAGGAGCTCATTGACGCACGCGATATCTCTGATCGTCTGCAGAAAGGCTTAATTTTATTGAAGAAAGAGCTCATGAACGCAAAGTTGCAAAGCAAGATTAACAAGGACGTTGAAAGCAAGATTCAAAAGCGCCAGCGCGAGTATTATCTCATGGAGCAAATGCGAGGTATACGTAAGGAGCTTGGAATGGAGACCGATGGCAAGGATAAACTTCTTGAGAAGTTCAAGGAGCGTGTTGAGAAATTGAAATTGCCTGATACTGCTCAGCGCGTCTTTGATGAAGAACTAAACAAGCTCATGAATCTCGAGCCGTCGGCTTCGGAGTTCAATGTCACTCGAAACTATCTTGATTGGATTACGCAGTTGCCTTGGGGTCTTCACTCGACTGAAAACTACTCAATCAAACACGCTGTTGATGTCTTGGACGAGGATCACTACGGTCTCAAGGATGTTAAGGATCGTATTCTTGAATTTATCGCTGTTGGCAAGTTGCGTGGCAATGTTGACGGTAAGATTCTTTGCCTGGTGGGTCCTCCTGGTGTAGGCAAGACGTCGATTGGCAAGTCGATTGCGCGAGCCTTGAGCAGACAGTTTCAGCGGTTCAGTGTAGGTGGTTTAACTGATGTGGCCGAGATTAAGGGTCACAGAAGAACCTATGTCGGTGCTCTTCCAGGCCGTATCATCCAATCTTTGAAAAAATGCCAGACTGAAAATCCGTTGATTCTGATTGACGAAGTTGACAAGATTGGTCGTGGACACCAGGGCGATCCTGCATCGGCACTGCTTGAGCTGCTCGATCCTGAGCAGAACAACAGCTTCCTTGATCACTACCTAGATATTCCGGTTGATTTATCCAAGGTGCTGTTTGTATGCACTGCTAACATGACTGATACTATTCCTCGACCGTTGCTCGACCGTATGGAGGTGATTGAGGTTTCAGGATACATTGCTGAAGAGAAGAAGGCTATTGCTATGAAGTACCTTGCACCTCAGGCGCGAGATAACTCTGGTTTGAAGGAAGTCGATGTCGAACTGACTCCTGAAGCGATTGATAGCCTGATTAAGAGTTACTGCCGCGAGAGCGGAGTGCGTAATCTCAAGAAGCAGATCGAAAAAGTGTATCGCAAGTCTGCGCTTGATATCGTCAAGGGCATGAAAGAAGACCCGGATGCGTCAGAGGATCATTTGCTGACTGAAGAGGGCAAGGAGATTGCCGGCGACCCTGACAAATCGTCCGCGCAGCCGCTACGAATTCCGCTTGCGGTACCAGAGTCTGTTCATGTGCAAATAACTGCCGATAATTTGCCAGATTATGTTGGACCGCCAGTATTTACGTCTGATAAGCTCTATGATGACCAGCCTCCTACTGGAGTCGTTACCGGCCTTGCGTGGACACAGATGGGCGGTACGACGATGTATGTTGAGTCTGTGCTCGAGGCACCGCTTTTGCCTACTTCGCAGCAGAGTTTCAAGCGTACGGGCATGCTTGGAGAAGTGATGAAGGAGTCGACTGTGATTGCATATACTTTTGCAAAGATGTTTGTTGCCTCGCATTTCCCTGACAACAGATTCTTTGACCACGCTCGCATCCACATGCATTGTCCTGAAGGTGCAACGCCAAAAGATGGTCCGTCTGCCGGAGTAACTATTTCTACTTCTTTGCTTTCGCTTGCCCTCAATCGGGTAGTCGACCCTGGATATGCCATGACTGGCGAGATCACAGTAACTGGCCGGATCCTGCGCATTGGCGGTCTGCGCGAGAAGACAGTAGCCGCGAAGCGTGCGGGTGCAAAGACAGTGTTTTTCCCGGCTGGTAATCTTGCAGACTGGGAAGCGCTTCCGGAAAACATTAAGGAAGGAATCGAGGGAGTGCCATGTAATTTCTATAGCGATATCTTTAATCGCTGCTTTGCGGGTGTTTCTCAGGAAGAAGGCAATAAGGTTTGGCATTCGCAGCTGGGAGACCCTAAGGACGCTGCGGCGATACAGCAGCAGCAACCGAAGAATGATGGTGGATTAGGTGATTTATTCCCGCCGCTGGGAGGTAGTGTTAATAATGAGATTCATGCTTACGACGGAAGCGGTCGGAGATATCATTGAAAGGCATAGTATATATTCAGCAACAGATAATAATGGTCAGTTTTTATCATATAGAACTCAGCGGACCCGTACTCTTATGTTTTAGGGTTTTCTTTTTGTTAAATTATGGTAATCTTTTATGGTAAATTTTTTTTCTCATATTTATTTTTGTTTTAGTTTGCTTTTCTACTAGTTTTGACGGAGGTTTTTTTTGTAAAGTGTCACATTAACGCAGTTTTCTTTTAATCCTCAAAGATTTTGCACTATTTACAATTATGATATATACATACACTATTCAATTTAATCATATAAATCTCCATATAAATCTTGTTTAGAAACCGAGGCTTTGCGCCCATTACAGACGAAATATTGCTCCTTTGACTCACTTCTCGAAGCAGCTGGTTTCTCTCTCTTGACGCGATCAAAAACTTTACGAAGTTTGCGTTCGAAAAAGGCGTCCTCGGCGCCGGCGTAGAACTTGCAGATAAAGGCTCCTCCGGGACGAAGGGTGTCGAGAGCGAAAGCGAGAGCAGAGTTCACTAGGTCCTGTAATAAAACTTTTGTGAGCGTGCATCCAAGTGAGGAAAGAGAAAAGGGGGAGAAGAGAAGAAGAATAGTACCATGCTTGTTGCGTGATCACGAAAGGTGATTCCGGAGGTATTCATGAGCCTAAAGAAAGGTTGGCTTAACGTGAATGACCAAAATGAGAAAATGGGAGGCCAGGGCTCGGACATGTCACTTAGCACGACATCGACTGTATCTGCGGCCGATTGCGCAGATGAAGTAGATGGCGAAGGAGTACGATCGATGGCGCGCTCGATATCAATGTAGCCTAATCGCATACCATTTTCGTCAACGGTATCTTCTCGCTCATCAGTTGGGCGACCTAGGTCGGGTTCGCACAGGTAGTCTTTGATAATCGCTTGAATTTGCGGCGATAAGAAGTCACCTTGGATGGCAGAAGCACCTTTTGGTGGTGCGGCAGGAAGGAGGTCGATTCCAATCACGCGACCGTTTGGACGTGTGCGGTCGACTGCTACCTGTGTCCATGAACCGGGTGCGAATCCCTGTGTCTTGTTAGTAGCAGCAGGTTGGAATAGCGAGGAAGCGCAAGTCATACGAGATCCACAACCGTCTGGCCCGGTTTGAAAATTTTGTGATTTTGATGGATCTGCAGATTTATCCCAATTAGACATAACTTCAAAAATTAAAAAAATCAAAATTACGATGAGATTCAGATCCACACACTTCTAATAGTTTAAACGCGGCTCGGCTTCGTAGTCCCTTTACTTTGGCATCTCGGAAGTAGACATCTGATGTCTTCCTCTGCACCCACCTCTTCGAACTAGAGCTGCTTGCCGCTCGCCGCTGGCAGGAATATATCGCATCAAATAGACTCTCGCCGAATAACGATCGTACACGCTTAAAATCCACGCTCATAATGCACCGTAGGCGCGCTCCATCATTAAAGAACCGGGCTGATTGATTTTAAATCATTGTATAAATTGAATTCAGCAAATTCAAATATGCCCGATTCCGCCCGAAATAGGAATTAAACTCCCAAAATAAGAAACTTATGTAAATTGCCCTAAACCGACATATAGCCCGAGTAAACCTGCTGCGCGACACAGCGGCGGAGACAAAATTGTGCAACGAAGTGGGCACTATGGCCGAGTGGTTAAGGCGAAAGACTCGAATTGAATATTTGATATCTTTTCTCGTTTCGAGGCGCAGGTTCGAGTCCTGCTGGTGTCGCCATTTTTGTTTTTATCTACATTTTTTTTATCTAATTTTTTTTTTGTAATTTCAGAAATTAATTACTATATATATGAAATATATTTTTTTAAAAATAATAAACATTTCAAACAAAACAAAGTTGAAATATGAAAACGCCAAAAAAGACAAAAAGTCATAATTTAGCAAAAAGGAGTTTATCAAGTCGGATTTTCTTGGCTCGGATTTAATCGCTCGCGCATACTTCGCATCTCGCATATCGCATGTCTCTGATTACTCAGCCAAAGTAGTTCAGAACTGTAAAGTTCATAACCCGTGTCAGCAAAAGCACGGCCTTCCAAGATAAATGGTTAGAGAAGAGCTCGCATTTAAACTTCAATAATAATCACAGCAACAAAGTTAAACAAATCGTACAATAAACAATCCCAGAAAAAAACACAAAACTCCCGAGCAAAGTCAATCAAATCTCAAATATACACTCAAAAATAAACACTGATTCCCAGCAATTATGTAAAATCATCTTATCTAACAAAAATGTAGCAAAGCAATCATAATATGTACACGAAAAGTATCACCGCGTCTCGTTAATTCGCTCACCATCCTTATTAATTCACTCGCTATCCAGCCATCTATGCAAACAAAGCGTCCACGGACTCATCTGGCAGCCCCGTCTGCTTCCGCTGACCGGCCCAGAACTTTGCGATATCAAGAATAGAGTCGTCAATAAGCCACGACCACTTCTTTGCAAATGCATCCGCGATCTCCCAGGCCAGTGGTTGCGCAGGGTCGGTACCCCATATTTGGAAGCCGCCATTCAGAAGGTCCTGACAGAACTCAACCTCGTCAAATGCGCCTAACCGTAGTTGTTGAAGCAATGAGTCGCGCAGAGTCGCAAATGGTATTGCGTCAACGTACTGGATATGGGGCACAATGCCTTGTAAAGCAGTAGGGTAAAGAGCAGGCGGAATTGACGCAGACTGCTCGGGGGATGGAACAAACACCTGGTAGCGAGGCAGGTCATGCGCGAGTGGCAACTGGCGGATGTTTTGGCACATTGCTGCACCGATGGGCTGGCATGGCATAAGCAGAGCGTCGGCGGCACTCAACGTGCCATCTAGATTGTCTCTGGGAGTAGAAAGAGGGAATGGGGTAGCTGCGTTACCGTCAATACATTGCTGAAATTGGTCTACCTCAGCTGAAGACATTGACGACGGCTCAGTGGGATCAAAGTCCAGAGATATAAATGACGCAAGCTCTTGCTCATAATGTTGACGCTGCAGGTCTTGCGGGTTTGCAAAAAGCGTGTTGCGGGGTGTGCTGGGAGAAACTGAGTCTGTATCAGAAAAAGACGAGGCTGATGAGGCGGTAATGGTAGGAGTAAGCTCTGCGGTAGCCGACAACGGGCCTGAGGATGAAGATGCAGAGGAGATTGAAACACGCGAGCTGCCGCTGTTGGTGTCGTCAGAGTGCTTAGATTGTGATTTGTGGTCTTTACTCTTCGCGAGACGACGGCCTATAAAAAGAAGATTTAATACAAAAATACAAGTGAAGATTTACGAAATATAGATAACATACGTCTAGCGCGCTGAGCAACGCGGTTTTGAATGCGACGACGTAGGAGAGGGTCTGCGATACCAATCCACTCCTTGCGCTCGTCAAGAGTGGTTTCGTCATCGCTGCTGTCAGCGATGGGCGAGGCGGCATCTGATGCTGCTGCTGCCGCCGCCGCGATGGACGCGGCCGATGCAGCCCTGCGACGAGAAGACGACAGACGCATGCTGCAAAAAATAGAAGAGTAGGAGGCAGCAGGAGAAGACGCCGGAGATGGGGAAGAGCACTATAAAATAAAAGCGAAGCCCGCGGAGCATCAGCCGCGCTCTGACCGGCCGACGGAGTTTGCGAACGCGCCGGGCCCGAGGCTCGCGTCGAACACGGCTTGCGAGCCCTAGCCCTACATGTCCATGCGGACGCGGCTGGATCGTGACGTCAGCGGATGTCGGACGCGCGGCCTCGTCGCTTCCAGTGCTCGCGACGCTAACCCGAATAAGCGAGACTGCAGCGAGCGGAGACAGTAAAGGCTCCGAGCCGAATCTGGCCAAGCTGTGAGAAAAACTCTGATTGTCGGCGAACTTTGCGACCGGCCACCGACATAGTGTAGTAGATTATCGTTCAAACAGATGAGTAATATAATGAATATGCATTGTATTAGGGTATGACGCTTAACAATGTCTTGCATATTGGCATTTGCTTGTTAATCAGTAAGTAGTACTACCTGCGGTTACTGTCGACGTGGCCCCATCGCGCATGAGAACCCGGAACTCGCGACATATCGCACGCACGCACGGGTAATACTGGCTCTTCAAGTTTGCATTTGCTTGCTGTTTTTACTATTATTAGTATTGTTTTTGTTTTTTGTTGTTGATGGTGGTGGCGGCGGTGCAGATCTGGCAGTCTCCTCGAAATTCAAAATATGATGCCGATGACTCTTATACCGCAATACATACTCTGTAGCTGTGTATTCGAGTAACGATGTTTCAGCACTGTAATCTAGCAGATGCCGTTACTCCTCTGCATCTACATCTATGTAGTTTGAAAAGCTATCTTTCTGTAACCAGCCTCCGTATCAAAGCGATATGCGATATGGTAGCATGAATCTTGGCGAATCTGATTCGGGTATCGAAGATACGGAACCATGACCAAGATCAACGCTAGATACCTGTCGCCAGCCGCACTGACGTCCGCGGCTGGCCTAGTACGCGAACCGATTCGTCTCATCGAGTATTGTTCCCCATCTTGCGTGTATGTACTCACCAAATGTTCGTCTCGGTGCCAATCCTGAAACTTTTTCAGAGAAAAGTATAATCACTGCCGACTATGCGCTTAAATCCCTGCATTTTGATGTTTGCCGCAGAACCACAGTAGTACATCGCCGCGTCAATATCGAGCGTAATCATCTGCGCCAGTGCATTTGCGAAATCAAGAGAGTGTAATATAATCAGAACCAAACTCGACACCTAAAAAACACAATCATCTGGTTCTATCTGCAGGCAATAATCAGTGCGCCATTAATCATTGAGTTGGTGTCATTCAAGAATTCATTAAAGAATCCGTCTCAAAGGTGACGCGTCAGATAAGGTACTGTCTAAGTCACTATATCCGTGGCTGCCTTTGTTGTTTGTCATCGATGCTTCTGCTCCCGCTGCAGATTTGCTTCTTTTGTCTATTTGTCCGCGTCAGCTATATGACTCGCCAGATGCACTTAAAAACCTAGGAAGAAACAGAAACACGTGCAAATAATATTGCACACGATCAACAATACAGCATATTTCCATTTCGCCACTGAAATTTTAGTCCAAAACTACTGCTTTATCTATATAATATTCTAAATCTGCAAGCCAGCAGTCAATACTATTATTACTCTAAAAACAAGTGGGGCGATGGCCATCCGACCTATTTCGCCGCAATCGGTACACGGTACATTTATATTCTAGCATTCTCCTTCCTTCTTTAATTTGGTACCTATTTTTCTTTGTAGTGATTTCGTTTCCGGTCTTCCCAATTGTGCCATGCGGTTGTTCATCTTGATCCTTTCATTCCTTATTATATTCGTTCGTAGTTGTGAATAAACTAATTGCGCAAAATTCGCTCTTAACGCTGTCACCATTTTTTCTATCAGCAACGAGACCTCTGCATCTCTCATATCATTCTTGACTCAATACAGATCAACTTGGGAATACACATGTAGCAAATATTCGACAATAATCCTGCTGGTGGTACCTTCATATTCATCTTGAAGAAATTTATCTTAAAGGAAATTCTTATTGTTTTCAGATTGTACGCAATTTCGTGATCCGCCTCCGCCGCCTCCATCATTCTCCCTCCGCCAGAAGCTACCATACTCAGTGTAAGGTAGATAAATTGAGTAATATAGAGGTATTTAGGATTAAACTGAACGTCAACGCGATATCGATTGATTTGCCGCCCCCAACCCCCTATGACATATACTTTGTCATATGGCTACGAGTCCATGTGGCAGTGGACTTACGCTAGGCCACAAAATTTCACTACTGAAAAAAACTTGCAGCAGACCTTGCAAAGTAGATCTGATAGCTAAAAATGCAAGCTCTGCGACGACCTTGTTACTGCTTTGCTGTATTCCGTTGGGGCGGGCAAGTTGACAAAATAGATACGAACAAAGCCTACAATGTGCGCCTCGTATATTTTTTACACTATCGTTGGTTTTTCGCTAACCAAAATATTCTCAAATTATTAAGAATCAAACATTCACATGATATCTATACTGCTGCGTTCACCATAAAGTCTAAAATTCCGACCAACGCCTATCCTCCGCTCAAAAATCATCAGCTGTGAAAGAAAACTCCTAACCATCCCAAAAAAAAAAAAAAAAAAGGGGGTGATAATCTTATATTCTAATCGCTCCTTCGCCCCCAGCCTCAAACTGAAGCTCCATATCCTCATCCTCGCCCAATTCATCAGCTCCATCGTCGTAAAGCCCGCCGTCAACATGCTCTCTAACCAGCATTGAAAATCCAAGGTTAATACTGAATAGTACAATTGCTACATAAAATATTGTCTTTGGCGCGAACGTCACCGTCGAAGCGTATATATTTGAGAAAATAAGTGGTCCAATTATAGTTGCCACGCTCTGCAAAAGGGAAAGTGCTCCCAATACCTGTTTTTATCACAAGTTAGTTATCGCGTCGAAATATATTATTAGAGATATACGTACGGCGCCGGTATTCTCTTTTGGAACGTGCTTCGTAATAGCAGAGGCAGTTGTCGGAGACCCAATTGTACCCAGCGAGCCCAAGATTCCCCCTAGGTTAAAGTATTAGCAACCATTTTCGGTTTTATTATTATTGTTTTTTTTTGAAGGCAATGAATCATACCAAGAAAAAACTCAGTAGAGTTTCGTGAGAGCACCATGACCACATACGCGGCGATGTAAAATACAAACGAGAATCTTATCAAGAATACATCTCCCTTTGATGCTCCAACCT